TAAAACTAGTAAATCAGACGTTATCGTTATCGTAGTTTGGCCTAAACGAAGAAAAGAGTGAGATGAGCTTTGAATGAGTTTTTCAGCTGCCTCTTTCAGCTATCTCGACTACTCTCTTTGGTACGTTCAGTGTGTTTTATATTCTATTGTAATCCGCAGCAGTACTCCACCACACGCCCGACCATTTCTGCGAGTCCGATGACGACTGCAGCGACACAGAAGCCTGTGTCGATGGATCCTGCGTTGATCCATGCGTCGACCACTGTCGATCGACAGTTCCATGTCGGGTTAAAGCACACAGGCCTGTTTGTAGCTGCGACCAACGCGATCACACTTGTATACACGTCACAACCATGCCGAATCTTGATTATTCGACACCAGTAACTTACGAAATGACTACACTTTTAACAACTATGCAGTCTAGCTTTGAAAAAACTCCTTCTGCTGTTACGGAAGAGAGTACAGTTCTATATACCACTATTGCGAAAGAAAGTACAACAATTCCATATTCGAGCGAAACTACCGAATCTTCGAGCAAAGTATTCACTGAGACTTCTACCATGCAAGAAAGTACTCCTGTATCCGTGGAAAGCGAATCAACTTCACCTACAACATTAGCAGGCGATGCATTGAAGACTTCCACGATGTTGACAACGAATATGGAAGCCATAGAAATTACTACTGCTTCAGATGCTTCAAAAGTGTCTGTCATTGAAGAAACTAAATCAACTTTGCCTACCACAGAAGCAGTTGATCTGTTTGGGACTTCTACAATGCCGACGACAACTATCAAAGGTATAGAAAGCACCATTGCTTCAGATATGTCAGAAGAAAATATTGTTAATGATATTTCTGAAGATACTGAAGTTATTCCAACTGTGAAAGGTATTGAGTCCAGTAGCGAAGAGAATGAGATAACCACTATACTTCATATCAACACTACGCAATATATTTCGACTACAGAAACGACATTTACTACGGATTTAATGAAAGGAACGACTGAACCAGACAAAGTTCAGATAGTTACTCCTGTTACATACGTTTATCCTCCGGATGAGAGGTTACCATCGGGTGACGTTGTTACGGTTACCCCGACATACGTAGGTGAATATCCTACAGAGATTCCGGAGATTACTGAATCGACAAGTACACCTAGTAGTTTTATCGAGAATATTACAATTAAAGAAAGTCCTAGTACTGAGAATTTTAATTTGACGACGACAGAAGGTGTAACATTGGTAACCGTGCTGGCAGAATATCCTCTGAAACATGAAACAACAATTGAGTCAATGACAGAAATGTCGCAAACAACAGGAGAATATACGACAAAACCATTTCTGAGTACCGTAAAACTTTCTACAGAAAATTTGGCAACAACTACAGGATATTCTACAGAACAATATTTAACGACTGAAGGATCAACGGAACGATCTTTTGCAATAGAGTACGGAGCAAGTACGGAACAACTTTCTACAACTGAACGATATTTGACTAAATATTCAACAGAACAATCTTCTACAATCTTACAGTATTCGACCGAACAATTTTCAACAATTAAATATACAAAGGAACAGAGTTCGACAACTGAACAATATACTGCGGAACAGCCACAACTAACAACCCAATACATCACGGAACAACCTTCTACAACTAGTCAGTATTTCACAACTCAGCAATACTCA